TGGGCTCTGGCATCTTCACAAAAGCCTACACACACTTTTTTTTTTTTTTTTTTTGAGACAGGGTCTCTCTACACATCCCTGGCTCTCCTGGAACTCACTATGTAGTCCAGGCTACCCTTGAACTCACAGAGATCTACCAGCCTCTGTCTTCCAGGGATTAAATGCATGAGCCACCATGCTCACACATACACATCAAAGAAGAAAAAAAAAGTCTTGGGATGACTTCAAGTACATAGAGGAAGAGGCCCCGAGGTGAATGCTGGGACACCACAATCAAGGTGAGAAGGGAAGGAAACTGAGAAGGCTGAGATAAGAAAAGCAGCAGGGCGTGGTGACCAGTGAAGAAAGTGAAGAATGAAACAAGGCGTGGTCAATTGTCAAGTGTGCCAGAGTCAAATCAAGTCAGTGTCATCTACCACAGCCCAAAGCTAGTCTTGGCCAAGGCCTCACTTGTAATTCTTCTCATTGCCTTTTCTTGTACTTCCTTGCAGCTAAATTCTGTCTGCTGCCTTTTCACAGACACTTATTCATCCCAGAACATTTGCTACCATTTTTTCCTGTATCTCTAAGTAAGTATGTTACATGGATTTCTATAAAACCCAGAGTATGTCTAGCACATAAGGGCAATTAACATACCGCTGCAGCGATGGCCTTACTTCGTATGTGGCTGTTGAATGTGGTGTGTGCTGCCTCTAAGGTCAGGGCAGGAATCATGATTTCAAGTATCATCTCATGAGACCCTCACTAAGAAAGAAAGAAAATAATACAACTAGCCTATAGGTTTTGCAGGTGTCTGAGGCGGCCTGCTGCTAATTACGTTCACCTGGCATTTTCTTTGTCTCATATTTAATGTCTCAAGTACTGCCTTGCCCCCTAGTCATTTGTTTATCTCAAGCTGATTGGTTCCCCAACCTTTTAAAGTTTGCTCCAGGCCTTGGTGATAACCAGTATCACTGAAGCTCTATCAGAGACTTGAGATGGTAGTATTTCATGTGTCGGGAAGAGTTAAGAGAATTGTAGGCACCAGGATGACATTTTAAAGGGAGATGTGATTAAGAGAAATCAGGAAAAGGCTGGTAGCTATGGGATAAAGCTTCCCTAAATCTTCACAACATGAGAGGGAGCAGACATAGATCCACACATCAATTATCTCTGCAGAAGAGCTGGCCATCAACAGATTAACAGCATCAACACCAGAGCCTGGTAAAGACAAAAGCCTCCAGTGACACAGAACACAGGACAGTCACTGCTACCTCAGGCAAGTCCAGAGCCAGCCAGAAGTCAAAGGTACCTGCTGCACGCACATGCCAGGACCTAAGAGCCAGTGCTCACATCTGATTCCCTTCCTCATGGTCACAGATTGAGGGGTTTTCTCTAAATTATTGAGTACTTGGCAGATACCAGATATCCAAAATGGGACATATCCAATGAAGGACTGAGCAACTAGAAATAGCTGGCTTGGAGATGAGTTAGCTTGAGTTCTTTTTAAACAGCTAGAGTCGCCTTAAAGCCGCAAAGGTGTGGGGGTTGAGGCGTTTTAAGAGTCATGCTCCAAACCCTGAGTCAGCTGAACCAATGACTTCCTACAGCCCTAGTTTAATGGCTGCTGGGAGACTGGGAGGCGAAGGTTCTATTCAAGAGCTAAGGAAATGCTGGATTCAACAACTCTCATTTTCAGAAGGAGAGCCGCAAGCACAAGCATGACACAAACCAACCGTCTATGAAAAGGTCAGGACTAATGAAGACCTCCAGATGCTGGCTCAGAATAGCAACTTAGGGGCTGCTCAGGGTGAGGTTGAAACAGGCCTGTGCTGTGGTCAACGCTACAGCTAAAACGAATGTAGGCTGACGCAAGGACCTGGTCTACAGTGGTTCCTACTGAGAGCAGATTTGAGTAAGCATGTCTTCATTGGTGATGCCAACCCCAACCAACTGAACTTTGTACAATGATTTCTAAATGACAAGGTCTGTCCTATTTTTATAGCTGGTAACTCTGACAGGAATGCAAGACCTACTTAAAAATGCTATTAACCATCAATTTTGCCATTTTGTAGACAGGCCTTTTTTTTTTTTTTTGGCCTTGTGATTAGAGATAGGAAAAAGCCATGTAACAAGCATTTTTAGGGGTCAGATGATGTTTCAGAGCACACTGAATATTCCTAAATTCCCCGACTTAATTTTATCTGTATCATTCTAACATTTTGAAATTTAAATGTTCCAGTATTAAAACCTAAGTATCTAGTGAGTATCTCTAGGATCTAAGCACAGAAAGTTTGATTCTGTGATTACAGGGTCAGGCCTATAATACTAGACATTAGTACATTTGCTAGTACTTGAGAAGGATCCTTTTGTCATACAAAGGTGCACGGTGAAGAGCTTCCTATAGCTTCTCCCTGATTCAGATGGGCATATCCAATAGAAAAAAATGCATCTGATATGACATTCACACTCCTTAATCCCAGAGCTGGGAGGTAGAGGCAGGGAAGTTCAAGGGCATCCTTGGCTACAGTGAGCCAAGGCTAGTTTAGGATATGAGACCTTGACTCAAGAGCAACACATTTGATTCACATACCTGTGAACCTGGTAGCTTTATAATACAGCACACTGAAGAGTATTGCTTTCAGGACTACCTGACCTGGGGATTCCCACTGCTGCCCATCTTAAGAGAGCACCCCGACCACAAGTGCCAGCCTAAAGTCATCAAAGCTCCGACGTGCAGCTTATACTGCCTGCCTGCCACTTCTGTATTGAAAAGGACAGCTGGCAATTACAGAGTGCCATTTAATCTCCAATAACATGAACAAGATGCATGCCTTTCCTTCCTCCTTCCGTGGGGTATTCTCAGGCCAGATGAGTATGTTCAGAAAATACAAAGAGGAACAGAACTCAGAGACAGGTACTGTGAACCCTTGTCACGGTGGTTGTGTTCAAATGAGCCCAAATTATTCTGCCTTTCCTCCAATCACATCCAAGGATTTTATCCTGTTATTTGAATTATGCTGGCATAGGTTAACAGGCATCCTAACTTCTCTCAGACCTAAGCATCAACAGTAGGATAAAAAGTGATCTGCGTTCTCCAGCATGAGCCAGATGCACCATTTTTTTTTAAAATGAAAAGACAGGTTATCTGAAAATATACTTTTAAGCAAACATGGCACAGAAAAACAACCATTACAAGTTGATGGGCCAGCAAGATGGCTCAGTGGTTAAGGGCACTTGCTGCCAAGATTGACAATGTGAGTTCAATCCCCAGAACCCACAAGGTGGAAGGAGAGAATTAACTCCCATACGTTCTCCTCTGACTTCTACACTCATGCTGGTGCATGCATTTGTGCTCCCCCTCCCAAATAATCCACTCAGTTTTTCTGATGAGAAAATCGTAACATAGGCCAGGGCCATTCCTCCCTCGCACTTAGATAGGAACATGTTCTGTGCATCAGCGTTTATGCTAAACCCCAATAGATTACGAGGGGTATTTAGATACCACAAGAAATCATAGTGATTATCAATTAAACCCCATCTATGCTCAGAGCTGAGGTCATCTAAGCACTGAGTAATGTGATGAAGGGTAAGTGATAACTCACTATGGTCTGAATCCCCCTCCCCCCAGAATGAGCCACTTATTGAGACTTAGCCCTCACCCTTTTCCTGAGAAGCTTACAGTCTGAAGATGAGGGAAGTCCTGATATTGCTCTATAAGTATTTCACCTCCAACTTCTAGGAATGATGACAGACATTCCTCTGGCCACTGGACCCTTGGCTCACCTGGTTTTACAGGTGTTTGTCTATGGTGCTCCTGTGGCTTGGTGGTATTTATTTTGTTAATCTGGAAGGGGAGGCCAGGAGCTCTAAAATACCCCAGGAATCCAGCCCCCGCCCAGTGTCACCTGTAAAATCACCATGGTTACCTTCTGACCACGCCTCACACAGAGGGCTCCCTGGCATATGACCCTTCTGCTCAGTGATGCTCTTGTCAGTCTGTCAAAACACCAAGGGGAAAATCCCCAAACTCGGCAGACGAATAAACACTTGTAACATGAACAATCATATTTAGACCAATGTCTTGCAAAAATACAAGTCAGTGGATTTTTCCTTATGTAACTCAAGCATTACTATTTTTTCCTGCCTTTCTAAAAGGGCACTTAGTTTTGTCAGCCAATTTTCTTCTACTTTTCTGTGATTGGTACCCAATGTTACTTCTTTTACTATTATAACCTCCATTCTGGGATATTTGTTCTTTGAGCCACTTTATCTCTTTTTGTGGATAAATCTGGTTAATCGTGAAAAATCACAAAGTCTGGGGGTAGGGTGGGGAGTTAAGGAGCACTAACAGGATCTCACTTGAGTCATCACAAAGTTTATATGAAAACATTCATTTTTATTATAGAATCTAAAACCACTATTTTAGATACTGTCTTTTTGCATACTTAGATGGGTTGACATTCAATGTGGACATAAAGCTAGCTCACAAATGAACTGTAGGAGCCTCCAAGCAGCTGGCCACAGAGTGCAGCAAGCTTCCCTCAGAGTGGGAGGAGATAAGGAAAAGCTACTGCAGTCTAGAGATAGGTCACCTTCAGGATTTAAAAACTGGCTGCCAGGGGACCACATTGACACAGTAGTCCTGGAGCCAACAAACAAACAAACAAACAAACAAACAAACAAACAAACAAACAAACCCAAACCAACCAACCAGCCAACCAGAAACCAAAGGAGAGGAATGGGAGTTTCAGAATATGTGAGATTACCTTAGATGAGTACTTGGCATACTATGATCCAACAGGGTTACAATGACCAACAAAACAGCAAAGACAGTTCATATTATTTCTACCCTTAGTGTAGAAGACAGATTTTCAAGTTGCAGTACTAAAACCCATGATAACTCCTGAGACAAGTTACCCTACACCCTGCACCCTTACCATACCAGTGAGAAATGGAACACAGAAAAGTGACTTACTATATGGGATTCAGGGTGTCCTTGAAAAGTGACAACTGTCTTATTAAATGATAAAACATAGTTAGAGGCTTTATTTAAAAATCTCTCACTGTTCATTATCAAAGTTACAAGATTGTTTGCATACCAATAGACTGACTGTAAACAGGAAATTCTCATTAAGGAAAGATAGGTTTACTGTAATTTGATCTTTTACAAAAAATTACTGCAAGTTATTGATAACAGAATTTCTCTTTTGCTTTCTTAGGTCTAATTCTCTTGAAAATTCAACCAATGTTTCCACTTTCTTCACTAAGGTTCAACCATGGTCACCTCAGGAAATACCCCGCTTATTTGTTAGTCAGAAATACAAACTGTGGCACGTTTCCATTTTTTTTCCTAGAGCAAAGGCTTCGGCTGCATTGTATCTCATGAGAGGGAAAGACACTCCAGTGGTCCTGTTGTGTTTCAGCTCAGTTTAATGATGGCAGTGTAGCAAAGCAGTGGTGGTGCCCAGTCAGACCTGCCCGGCTGCCCTATCTCTCATGGAATCTTCTTCCTCTTAGGCTTGCAGGCCGCCACGTGTCGCTTCCACTGAACCTGACTGGAGCGAGGGTGACATGCTGACTCAAGGTGATTCCACCATCTAGCGAGGAGCTGCTCCATCAATCTGTTGGCTGGGGGACAATGCTAATATGAAGAAAGTTATCTGGGTAGCTCAGATGTTCACTCAGCCACTGCAGAGGGGTTTCCAGCATTGGCTCAATTCCATGAATCATCACTTGGTTCTTTTTTTCTCCATCTGTTCCAAGAAAGAAATCCAAGAGTAATCAATAGAAATGAAAACCACAAAGAAAAGATAATCCATTGCCTTTTCAGATTCCTTAGTGAATTAAATAGATTTCAAACTTGTTTTATCCCCTCAACAGGAAGTGAAGATGAGGAGAAAGTTTAAATGTTGCAAAATGTCTCATCCTGAACAGAAACCTGAGGTTGCAATGAATTCTGATAAAAATTCTGTTGCTATATGAAAGTATTTGTTCTTTCTTAATTACTGTGCTTGCCCAAGATTGACGTTAGTGAAACTATCCTGGAGAAAACAGCAGGGTGAACCCACTGACCAAAAGTATTCTAGTACACATTTAAAACCACTGTAGAAGTCTGTTAAAAATGGTAACCTCATGGAGGCAGGTCACACACCCTGTGAATCTGAGAGGATACTTAACAGATGGGAGCTTTGCTGATTATCAGCAATGTGCTCAAGTGTTGGAAGTAACAGGAGCACAATCAAAACTATTATCACAGAGAATTGGCAGTCTGTCTTAAGAGTCACCAAATCTGATGGATTTTTGCTAATCTCAATTGCTAATTAAAACTGTACTATAGTGCCTGCTGCTGGGCTCAGCAGATAAAAGCATTTACTGGCAAGCCTGTGGTCTGAGTTTGATCCATGACACCCATAGGATAGGAGAGAACCTAGTCCCCAGGTTGTCTTCTGACTTCTACACATACACATGATACATGGGCAACCATCCCAATCACCCCTACATTGAAACTAGTTAAAAGCAAAACAAAACCCCTTATGTATTGGGCACCCCTCCCCAAAACAACCACTCCAGACCAAACAAAAATTACTCAGAAAGGAAAAGAATTCCTTTACAATGTCTTCAAAATACAACGGCAATCCCCTCACATCTTTGGAAACAAAAGACAATGGGGCCCAATTCTCCGATGGGACAGGAGTACTCTAGCTGCTGCAGTCCTTGCTGCTGTATTCCAAGTGCCTTTCAGTCCCCATTGTGGCAAGGTACAGGAGGGCCTGGTTTGCACCTGGCAGCAGAACCTTTAAAGAAATGGTGGTGGGGGGAGATAGAGATAGATAGACGAGAGAGAGAGAGAGAGAGAGAGAGAGAGAGAGAGAGAGAGAGAGAGAGAGAGAGAGAGAGAGAGAGAGAGAGAGAGAGAGAGAGAGAACGCGCGCGAGAGCAAACGAAAGTTTCCCACATCTCTGTCACAGTTCAGTACACAATACAACTTTGGGGGCAGACTACTGCCTCAGGCCTCTATTGCTTTCATTTCTCTAGCGATCTTATTATTATTATTACTATTATTATTATTATTTAGTTAAATGTATGTGTGTCTGAGTGTGAATTTGTGTATGCAGTAAGTGTAGTGCCCACTGCAGCCAGATGAGGATGTTGGATCTTCTGGACCTAGAGTTACAGGCAGTTGTGAGCTGTCCAACATGGGTGATGGGATCCGAGTTGGGGTCCTCTGAAGGAGCACTGCACTCCTGCACTCCTAACAGCTGAGTTATCCCTCCAGCCTGGCTAGCCATCTTTGTTGCATCTATATAACTTTTTTTTTTTTTTTACATAGCTATAATCACAGAGTTGATACAATGACTAACTTCATGACACTGGTCAGAATCATCAACAAACAGAACCCGAAGACTGTACATCTGCTCTTGGGGAAGACTTTGAAGAATTGGTGTAAGATGGATGAACACTAAAGTTCTCTAGAATTATTCATCTTTCTAAGTTCTAGATTGCCGATTGCCAAGGTCTTACCATATTAAATCTTTCTTAGAATATCTGGAAACATTTCCAGTATGATTCTCTTAATATTCTTATTATATATTTCTTTGAGCTATTTTAAATATTCTCAGAATTTCCTCCTTCTTAGAACTGAGTCAAAAAACGAAAGCGTGGTGAGAGTAAAAGTTCCTTTTGTATACAGGTTCTCAAGCCAGAGCCATCTTTTTCCGAGACAGCAAAACTAACAAGTCACTCCTCACTTTTCAACACAGTTCTTAAAGCAGCATTTAACCGAGAGTGAATAACGCTGAGTGCCCCATCCACTGATGCACACATGCCTGAGACTGACACAACAGTCCCACCGTGCAAGCCAGAGAACATAAGAACCATTCCAGCTCTGCATCAAATCTGCCATATCATGCCATCATGGCACTAGGTAGGCAGATACCAGTTCTCTGGCCTCAGGTTGGGGTCATCTTAGTTCTTTGCTTGAACTGCACTTAAACTAAGTTGGATCTCTCTCTGCCTTACCCATCATTGAACAACTGAGGATGTGAGATATGATCAGGGCCAGTGGCTCATGTTTGCAACCTGAGCACATGGGGCAGAGTCACAAGGACAGTATAAATTCAAAGCCAGCCTAGTATACAGACTAAGATCCCATTTCAAAACAAAGAAAAGGAAAGCAAAATAAGACAAAGATGTGAAACATTTTGCCATTGCATGCATTAATCCAAACACTTTATGGGTATTTATTCTTTTGTTTACTTTATGACTTCCCTCCAAAAGCAACTGTAAACAGAGAATTCTTGGGATGGGACAGAGTTTCCCTTGACTGTAATCAGAACTCCTGTTGTTCATGGATGTCCCCAGCAGCTAGCATGGTACTGACACACTGTGATTATGCAGTGGAGTTTTACAGCTGCAGGTGGGGTGGGCTGCCAAAGCATCTTCAGAACTGGTGTGATGGTCACCCCGCCACTGGGCAGTGTGTGACTGCAGAACTGCTGGAGCTAGTGAGGTAAAGGCCAAAAGTAGTCCCTGATAATAACAAGTATGTACGTTGTCACCTAAATTTATGCTTTCATAAACAACAACAAAGCATGGCTGGGTAATTTGGCAATTACCTACATGAACAAAAAGAATACTGACAAATTAATTCCTACTTTCCTCTAACAAGAGAGAGGAAGCCCTTGATGAGATTGCTAAACTAAACACGTTTAGTAAACATGTCTGTGCTTCTAAATGAGACTGTAGACTTAATACTTGAAATTGGAAACATCACTCAAAACAGATGACTCAGGACTCCACTATATACTTCTTACTTGTGATTTTGCCTTTTGTCTGTTGGGTGATACAAGACTAACCCAGGGCCTTGGGCTTGCAAGGCAAGGCCTCTACTAGCAAGCTTTACCTCAGCCTCCACTGGAGTTTCTAAAACAGTATATGGAAGTCTGTCGCGTGCTGTCCTCTGGCTGTAGCCTTCTGGAACTGTGAGTATCTGAGATTACCAGATAATCTGCACTAGACTGGGTTCATTAGCTTTCCACTGTGGAGATGGGGAGCATTCTGAGCATTTATACACAATGTTCCCTCACACTGGTCACCAAGCTAGACTTGGATGTTATCTTTTCTTGGATCTGTCCCTGGTCCTATCTGATGACAGCTGCTCCCCCAGAAAAAGTTCACACAATAGAAGCTTTAAGTTAGCCAACGTTTAAGACAGTAATCAAGAGAGGTGATTGTCGTCATTCATATGTCACTTTTGCAGGGTGACTCTGACTCTGCCATAACTTTCCATTTGTGATGAGCATTTTCTAACAAATAGATGCTTAAACAGTCCCAATATTTTTGTCCCCAGCCTGGTGCTTAAGTCCAGTCCAGTCTTACGCTGTGCGACTCTTGGACAATTTCTCAGAGAGGGACATTCCTTCCTTCCTTCTTTTTTTTTTTTTTTTTTTTGAGACAGGGTTTCTCTGTAGCTTTGGAGCCTGTCCTGTAACTCACTCTGTACACCAGGCTGGCCTCAAACTCACAGAGATCCACTTGCCTTTGCCTCCCTTGTGCTGGGATTAAAGGTGTGAGCCACCACTACCCAGCAAGGGGAGCATTTCTAAAGAACAGTCACAGTTCTGTAGCCTAGTGAAGGTCCAGATACTAACAAGCAAGTAGTGTGGGCCTTCATCTGATGTCCCAAGACAATGGACAGGCAAGGGGGAAGGTCCACAGCCGCAGCAGCCCTTTCAAAGGTTCCAACTCCAACATTGCTCCATTAGGAACCTTCTAAGCCAGGGATCTGAGGGACACTTCCATCTGCAATAGGGTTTAGATTTTCCATTTTGAAAAGTATACAATATTATTTCACAAGGTAAAAATCAGTATCTACTTTAAAGTGAATAGTGTTACAACAGGTGTCTTTTAAGGAAAATATATTTACAGTTTGGAAAGACCACCATGGCTAAGGACTGGTTTTGCTCTTGCAGCAGAGGGCCTGGGTTTGGTTCCCAGCATGGTGTACATATCATCCCACGATGATTGCGCACGCGCACACACACATACACACAAAATGAAATAAAACACATGCATATTCAAGCACATTTTGGCTATGTGAAAATGGTAGCAGTATACTGAAACAAACAAAAATTCAAAACAGGAAAAATCCTATTGCCTAATTAGTTGTTAATAAGAAGTAAAGGCTTAAAACAATGATAACACATGATGCATCTATAAAAAATGTTGTCTGCATACAGACACATGAACAGCAAATACAAATGCACACAATAGTATAAATCAAACATAAAAGGCCAATCATGTGGACCAGTGCTATTGACACTGGAAGTTCAGACACTTGAATCCCCGGGAACGAACGAAGCAAAGGTGTCACACAAAGTCATAGTTCACATTCTGATAGACCATCAGCAGCAGGAGAGAGGATAACGAAAAACAAACACATAAACTGTGTTCTTTCTTCATGAATCTCTGCAGGAAAGTCTGCTTTAGATGTTCTGTAGAACCAATCCAACCATTACATTTCCTCAGTTGGTAATGCTGTGAAGCCTGATGTGTGACTAAGACATATCTCAGGTCCTGCTTGCTGTGTAGAACTCAAGGTTGCTTCTCACCTAATTTACGGGCCAGACTGAGACCCTCTTGTCTACAGAGTCCTAATAGACCTTTCAGTTCTAGTCAGTCTCTTACTCTTTTATGTCAAAACACCAAAAATCTTTCCTATAGACATTAGCCATCAACATTTACTATCTTTGAA